TTCAGCTCTGCCCCTACTCATTGATCTGAGATGAATCAGCCAAGCCTGGCAGATTATTTGGCTCCTTGGAATGGGATTTTTGAAATGAGGTACAGAAATTTAGATATGCAAGTGTGCAACTCTGTAAGCATAGAAACCCCATAGAAGTAATCAGGGAACAGAATATTCCTTAGTTCTATGAGGGCTGATGAGTGAGGAGTTGAGGTGGTCTTTAGAAAGAATAAAATGAAATGGCAAAGAAGCAGAGAGTCCAAAACCAGCTGACCCCAGGAAAAGAAGACAGATACTTTTTGAGCTCCTATGAAGTACCCCAGTATTTTCGCTTTTGCATTTGGAGAGTCCCACACATTTTAGACTGACCTATCCCTTCTGCCATTAAAGTTCTGCTTTTCTTTCTATTAAGTTAAATAAATTAGAAATAGACATTTAAGGAAATGCATATGTGAACAGATTTTTCAATAAACTGCAATGGTTAAATGGTTTAATTCAATATGAGATCTGACTGTCGTGACAAGAGAACTGTACAGAATTCTGCTGCATCAGGCTCTTTGAATGCAGTGCTGAATCCCATGCACTTTTAAATTCTCAGCACATTTGGAATCATTCAGAGCGTAACCACCTTTCGTTTGGCAAGGAAGCAAGGTAGAGGCTTCCTGGGGAAACCTGAGCTTGGAATATGCTGCATTCTATTTTACTCATGTCTCTGAAGAAAATGCAAAACTAGTTCGGTCCTAATTGTCACCTAACCTCAGTAAGCAGCCTAAACACCTGTAAAATTAAGCACTTGCATACCCTTCTCTGGTCGCTGCCCTTAAACCTAAAAGTGTAAATAAATACACAAGTAAAATGTATATTTTAACTTGTATCCCTACTCATAGGCATTTAGAAATATACAGTAAGAACTGACTGAGGTTAAAATGGATTCTATTTTGTCTTGCTTATGATAGATTTCCCTATTTCAACAGAATGTAGGCCTCTCTTTGTGGAGGACTGCCCTCATCTTTGGAATCCGAGTCTTCCATTGACCCCAGATATGATAATCACAATTCAGCTAACTATGCAGCCGCTCTCAGATCATGCCCACAAACACTGTCAAATTCAGGAATATATTACTTTCCTTGTGACCGTAAGTCTGAGAAAATTGCTTTAAGGCTATATTTCCTGATTTGATTACGCCAAATTTTACACTGCTGTGCCCAAAATGTCCAGAGAACAATTGCATGCATTTGTCACCTCTACTGTATAAGTATTAGGTGTCTTTGAAACATTCGAACCCTCTCATTGAAAAATACCATGCAGGGTACTGCCCGAGGCAATGATGTGTGGATATATAATCATTCTCCTGAAATTCATACTGAAAATAGAATATGGTTTTGAGAAACTCAGATTTATCTCCTTCTATCCTCACAAACTTTGCTTACTGCAGGACTTCATCACTTGAAAAGTGAAACTGTGCAACCCTATTCTAAGGAGTCTGAAGAATCCATATAGGAGGAAAGTAACTTTCCCGTGCCAAAGGCACAGCTTTTAGTTAGGAGGTAGCATGAGCTTTTAAGAAAGCGCTTGCTGGAGGAGAATTGCAAAGCATGCTGAGGAGTATTGCAGATGGGAGGCACTGAGGAATTAGAAGCAAGAAAGCACACCGTGGAGTAACTAGTCACACATTCAGGAGGTAACAACCCTAGGGCACATGTAATGTATAGTTTTGATTCTTGTTTATAGATTTTGATGGCAAGGAAGGCTTGCCTGCACAGATCACTCTATATAAACATAAATATGAGCATTAAAATATTGAAGTTGATAACATTCTTTAGAGGTGCTCAAATTTTGGATTTGAGGATGAAATTATACTGGAGAAAATACCATGGTATGAAAAGTTGAACTGTGTCTTCCCGAAGCTCATATGATGAAGTCCTTTTCTTTATAATATGAATATAGTTGGGGTTACAGTATTTAAGACAAAATTAAGGTTAAATGAGATCACAGTGCAAACCCTAATCTAGTATGACTAGATTAGGCCCTTTTGAATAAAGAAACCAGGTTATTGCACAGACATAGACTGAAGACAGTGTGGGGACACAGGAAAGACACTGCCTGTATGCTGAGAAGAGAGGCTCTCAGAAGAAATTAATCCTGCCTATGTCTTAACCTTGGACTTCTTCTCTTTATTGCTGGGAGTAAACAAATATCTGATGTTTAATCTACTCAGTCTGTGGGAATTTGCAAATTTGTTATGGCAAATATAGCAGACCCAGGAGATATCAGAAAAATATGTGGAAAAAAACCTGTCACCTACATAAGTAAATTAAGAATGTCTTTATTTTTATTTTTTTCAGCTTTAATTGAGTTTATTGGTACATTTTAGGGATACAGTACAGTTACATTCATTGTTGGGATCTTGTACCTCTACATGACAAGTCTTGATTCTCATTTTTTCCCCTTACCTCTGCCCTCCCTTCACCCCTCCTCCCCTCCCCATCTACAAACACTTTATTTCCATCTTTTCATTATCCCACATTTTTTTCTTTTCCCTTATTACCCTTCCCCTACCCATCACACCTTCCCTACACCTTTAACTCCTTTCTTCCCATTTCTAAATGTCAGTAATCTTATTAGGATATTATGTATTATTGCAGATTTTTTATATTAATAGAAAGAATTATCTTTTCATTTTCCCAGATTAAAATCTTAAGAGTAGAAACAACAGACTACATCCAAACTTTAATTTTTTTGAACTTCTCTTTTATACCTTACAAAGCCAGAAAAAATGTAAGCATGTATTTTCTATTTTGAAGGAAAAGCAATTATTACCATAATGCTTCCATTGTTCAGGCTCAAGTGATGGGCCAAAATTGAAGTCTTATTTAGATCTGGTAAAATCAATAATTTTTTAGCATTTTAGGGGAAATATTTGCATAAATATTTCCCTCACTATTTCCTCTTAGCTGTTTTGTCTACATAGATGACCCCATTCTGGCTTCTTATTCAAGTTTTCACTAACAAGCTTGTCTTAAAAAAAATTCAACCCCCAAAAAAAGAATTAAAAAAAAAAAAGAAAAAACCTCCTGATACCACAAAATTTATACCTTTAACTTACTTTGTTTTTATTGTGTGTTTAAAAACTTTCTATGAAGTAAATGTATTAGCCTTTTAATATATAGACATATAAGTACAAACGTTACATGTATGTGAATACACAAATATGTACATTATGTATTTATGTCTGTAAACTAGAAAAGAGGGAAAATGGAGTAAATAAAAAGGCATTTAATGAAAAGATAGCTATTTGCCATATTTACAGTATTTGTGCATTTATTAGAGTTTTCTTTCCCATTAAGTGTAGATAGAATCTATGAGATGTAATTTATATCAGTGTAAATAGTTGTTTTTCACATCCCAAGAAGACAGCATGCTTATTTTTAATAGTCTATGCTTTCACGGTGGTTTCTTCTACTGCAAGAACTTTTTGAAAACTAGCTTCTTCTTGAAGTTCTAAAAAACATCTCGGAGAAAAAGGAATCTAATTCTTCCATATATGGATCCACTATAGTCATGTACATTAAAGGTCAAATCCTTTAGTAACAAATGCTTGTGCAAAATTATCACCCACTTTCTCCTTTTGTGCATCATTTCGCCGACACCCGGAATTGAGTTACACTCATATTGCGTTTGTTTGTTTGGTTGGTTGGTTTTTTGAGACAGGGTCTCACTATGTAGTTGAGACTGACCTGGAACTCACTGTGTAGCCCAGGCTGGTCTCAAACTCACAGCGATTCTCCTGCCTCAGCCTCCCGAGTGCTGGGATTACAGGAGTACGCCACCACGTCCGGCTTCCGCATTGCGTTTTAAAAAGGTCAAACTTACGTACTGTAAAATTTGCTTATTGGCAGAAACCACTATTTTCTTAAGACTGAATTACTTCACTTCCTTGATCCTTTGTGTTTCCTCAGTAATGTGAAGCTCATTTAGAAATGTTTATGCAAACACATTTAAATACAAGAGGAAAGTCAATTATTATAAGAAACTTGAAGAGAGACGAGAAAAAGATAGCTCCTTCCAGGGTAAGAGATGGAGCCTGAGTCTCTAGAATGAAGATAAAATATGGGCTGTTTTAACTACAGGCTTGCCCCAGGCACTGTCTGGCGAGGAAGGGAGGTAAAAGGTCTTGGCAACGAGTGTGAAAAAGTCCCAAATTCTCTTTTCTCTATTTCATACTTCTTAAACATTAAACGGTGGAGATATTTGAACCTTAGAGTGCATCGAATTTCAAAAACTTAGAATGCTTATGAAGTCTCTTCTTATCAGGGGATAAATGCAGGGCCAGCAAGTTCATGCTGCAAAATTTCATGGAGAAAAAAATCCAAATCTTGTATGCCTTGAACAATCGATCCCTCTTTAACCTTTAACTGCTGGTCAGAAACTACATGTAATTCAATGTAATTGCAGCAGTGTATAAGATTGGATTTTTTCTTACCTTTTTATTATTTCATTTATTTTTCTTTTTGAGGGGCGAGGAGATGGAAGTTGAGGCAGGGAGGCAGAGGTGGAGAAGTAGGGAGTGCGGTGTTTAACAGACTCGGCTCTCCACAGTTTTGGGATTTTATTTATTTATTTATTTGTTTATTTATTTATTTATTTATTTATTTTCTCGCACCAGGGATGCAATTCAGGACCTTGTGCTCCCGAGGCAGGCGCGGTGGCACCGAGCTAAGGGCCTGGTCCTCAGCCCTCCACGTATGGGCATCACGACCCCCCTTCTCCATCTCACGGCTTCTGCAGGCACAAAGGGAGAAAGCAGCCATTTCCGTGGTCATTTATTAGAGGCTTATTTAAAAATGTCTTAGTTCACAATGCTGGTCATAAAATTGGCTTTTAAATGACACTATGATAACAAGTCATCCACAAACAGATATGACATCTTATAACGCCATAATAGCCCAGCGACCGAGGACTTGACAATAGATTCGGAGGGCTCTTTGGTGTTCTACGCAATACGGAGTTGCTGTCCCGAATGTTCTGGGTCCTCCCTGACGGAGATGAGACGCGCTGTGTGGTGAAGGGCTCTGTTTCGGTAGTTGCAGACCTTCTGTGAGTCAGAAAAAATGGATGTGATGACCTCCAGAAATGCCTTCAGGTCTTATAGTCTTAGGAAAACAAAAATATTGCACACAGCCAAATCTATGGCCCCAAATCAGCATTGTGAGTATACACACTTTCCACACTCACCGTTTTCATGCTATTTCCTATCATAAAATGCTAGATTGTTAGGTAATTTAATTTTTGTCTTGGCACAAACTATTTTATTTTGCTGGCAGCACGTTTTGGATTCATGGATATTACAGTCTGGAATTACCCAGTTTCTTTTTTTTTTTCAATATTAAAAAGCTATTTACTTTTTTCTTTGCAACAGCATGCCACGTTCCACTTTCCTCTCAGAGAATAAACAGCTACACACTTACACTTACCTGATGCCGATTATACTGTTTACACACAGCAGATGCTGACGTAGTTGTAAACTGACACATAAAAATTAAAATGCATTGCCACATGTTAGAGTTGTTGCTGGAGCTGTGCTGCTAAAATAAAATCTAATATTGAACACACCATATGTTACATTTGAATAAAATAAATGGGTGCTTAAAGAAAGGAAAGCATTTGTTTTCTAAATTATTTTCTTTATTAAAAGTATTACTTAGGTAGTTTTAATAGCAGCATACCCAGGAGTGGATCTAGATGAACTTTCCATGCCTTAGAATCTTTTCCTGAGCTTCTCTTCACTGCTTTCATGAATAGGTATGATAGCATTCTATTACAGCAAATTTTTTTTTCCCTTTTTTACCTGGGAGCAGTAGGAAATTAGGCAATATGCATAGCTGTCTTATTCTGTCTGTCTCTTTCACTGATTTAACTCAAACACCAAGAGGACTTTTTACTTACACTCTTCAAAATACGTGACAACTTCTTGTAATTCCTGTAATGTATCCTGTTAAAATATATAAAATAGAAATATGTTTCTCATTACAAAGGGACATAGTAAAAGGATTCAAGAATTAATGAAAACAATGAATAGTAGTCAGAATTCTGATCGCTGCACCCAATCCTAAGTTACCATGATACAAGAAGAATTGAGAGGTTAGAAAAGAATTGGAACAGGAAATACTGAAGTGCAACAGAGCCAATCTTAAGTCCTGTAGCTGCACATGTGACAGCCAGTGCGCCCGGTGACTGTGCGTGCTTTCCCTGCTGCTTGGATGGCCCCATCCTTGTGGCCTGGCTGTCTTTTTTTCTATCTATTGTCTGAATCCGTTCTCAGGCTGCAGCTAATCTTTGGTAGATGTTCCTGTCATCTTCAACTTCCTGGTGTCCCCTGTCCCTTTGGCTTCACGTCCCCGGCTTTATTCACTGCCTGTGGCTATTTGCCTGGTTTCTCTTGCCTTCCTTCGAAATCTGTGTAGGAGGATTCCTGACCCCACAGCTCCTGCATTTTACTGATCAGTAAAGCCAGCACCCTGTGGATGATACTCGGGTCTGCTGTCAGTGGAAGCAGTAGCCGGGCCCTCTTGGACCAAGTCTGCAGCAGTCTTTGAGTGCCTGGATTACTGGGCATGGTGAAATGAATCGCAGAGAATGGATTCCCTAGGAGGCATGCTTCGGCACGGTCCAGAAAACTTTCTTAAGTGAAAAGCATGCACTTCTGCACCCTTGAACCTTTGATGTGGGGTATTGCTAACTTCCGAAATGCCCTCGCGGTGTGCTTCTCCTTATCCTTCACAAAGTACCTCATTTCTTTTAATGTCACTAACACCTTTTTAGCCCCAAATTTACATGTGATTTTTGCTGTGCCAAAATAAATATATTTGTTCTTCTCTTTGCTTCCAATTTTTATTATAAATCTGACGGAACGCGGCCAGTAGTATCCATGCCATAGCCTGAGTGTTGGGTTGTCTTAAAATTTATTTAGTACACTGCCATTTTTTCATAGTCTTCCACAAAGTCTCAACACATGTGCAAACTATGAACACATTTTTCTGCAAGAACGTATCACACCTTGCCACTAGTCCAAATGCCAGTCAAGTACTTATTCCCAACAGAAACTTTTTGAGTCTGGTCCTTACAGCCCACATCCCTTGTAGCATTCTTTCTTACTGGCTCTGACCAGATCCACCTTCAGGGCCTGCTTACTACAATCTGAGGCTACTCTAGCCCACTTTTTCAAAAATTTCCCCAAAGCCTCCTTCAAAGAAGTTGCAAAATCTGTCAAACCACATGTACAGATAGAGCATCAGTAGTGACTTACTATTGGCACAGATTTTCTGTATTATGTTTCTGTTGCTAAGACAGAATATCAGACATGCACCATTTTAAAAAGGAGAGGTCTACCTTCCTCGCAGTTTAGAGGATCCAGTGAACATTTGGCAGGCATCAAGATAGGAAGATCCAGGTAGAAGAGTTTGATGAAGCAAAGCTTCTCAGATTATGTTCACTGGGAAACAAAGCAGGGAAGCAGTACAGGGTCATAGAGGTGTTAACTAAGGATCATATGCAATACCCATGCCCCAACCAGATACACCCAGAGTGTGCATTGCTAATTTACTAGGCTCTACTTCATGGAATCAGTATTGATGGTAACAAGTTTATTCAGTGATAATTTCCTTTTTAAATACTAGAATATAAGTAAAGAAGTTCTTACTATAAAGTTGAAATAAATAATACACCTAAATACTGCAGTCACACTACTTTCATCCAACTGCCACTGCCCACCCTAACGGTTTCTATTCCTAGTCATTTCCCCCTTACTGCCCCGTTAGTGCACTCATTAGCACTGTTCTCTAGCCATGCTCCACGGGAATACCTGAATGGACCCACATGGTTCACGCATCCAAGGTGAACTTACCAACTCACCAAATTACTGCTAAAATGGAATGACAGTGCAGCTTATCCTTACTGTGTTTTAAGAACACAGACTTGATTCCATTCCAGTAATGTAACACTACCCACCAGTGGCCATTTACATTTTGATTAAAATTAGGTAAAATTAAATTCCAGTTCCTAAATCACCTTAGTACATGTTTCAAGTACCTATTATGAACTTGGGATGAAAAGTTACCTTTTAAAATTTGGAACAGAACAGATATAGAACATTTAAGTCACTATGGAAATGTTAACTGGGCATTCACCACATACATACAAATCTCTTAAAGGAAAAACAATGTATTTGTTGTTTTTACATCAAGAACAAATGTATTTGAAAAATTCTGTGTGTTTCATTATTTTATTAAAGGCTTGTTAAATACAGATTCTTTTCAGGTTGTAATCTTAACCCAGTGATTCCCAGATTAATTGAACTAGGTATTCTTTTTTATATCCTGCTGCATTCAGGTAAAAACTAGTGTTCCATAGGACTCACTTTGAGGAAATCTGTATAGAGTATTTAAGAAATAATTTATTTCATTAAGTGCTAGTAAAAGAAACACTTGCATCACATGTATGATAAACTTACTGAAGATATAGAGGTTTAAATAGAAATATATCAGTGGTGTTTCTACCTATCTCAGAAATTCAAGGTCCCAAATTCGATCCCCAGTACTGCAAGAAAAAAAATATATAGATATATAAATCTTGGAATTTATGATAAGCTATTTTCCCCAATATATGCTCAGTAGTAGCACATAAGCAAACAAACAATAACTCTTAGATTTGTTTACAGGTACTTCAAAATGAAAGGCTTTTTTGTTTGTTTTTTAATGGGAGAGTAGTGAAAGCTTTGAAAGCCTTTACTTTAAATACAAAACTTAAGGAATTTTTGACTTTTCTAAAGTTTGTGGTCATGCATTCATGTGCATTCGGTTCAAGTCAGAAAAATTATGATTCAGTGTTCTAAAAAGTGATTCTTGAGCAAATTAATTACTTCAAAACTACACATATTCTAATGTGTATTTTATAAATAAATATATTGGATTTCCAAAATTTCATTGAGCTGTTTTATCACCAACTTGCTATGTTTTTTTTTTTTTTTTTTTTTTTTTTTTTTTTTTTTTTTTTTTTTTTTTTTTTTTTTTGGTACCGAGGATTGAACTCGGGTCCTTGCGCTTGCAAGGCAGGCTACCGAACCCCTGAACTAAATCCCCGGCCACTTTGTTATGCCTATTGAATTAAGCTAGTTAGCATTTCACTTCATTTTCCTAAATGCTAACATTTAATCAATACATTTATGGGATTATTTTTAGTCCATATATAACGTGATGAGTTGGTTTTCAAACACTGCTGATTATTTTGACGTTTTGAACATTAATTTCTTCAGCATTAATTCTTCAATGCAATCAAACTACTGGACTATTCTAAGTTCTCTGCCATCATAAAAACGTTGCCAAATATGTCCAAACTTATGTCAGCAGTAGATGATGAGATTGGGATAAAGCACAGCTATCAAATGTAGTCTATTGTCTGTCAATTGTAGACTTTAAATTATAAAATTGTATCACATTAAATGAATTTTCTCTTATAGAAAGAAAAGTTACAAAACATTCATAAAAAACAAGGGCAAATTCAAGACCAAAGGGAAGGAGAAGTCTTTACTGTGATATAAAGACAGAAGAGTCAACCCCTCCTTGATAAGGTTAGCATTTCCGGAGAAGCAGTAAGACAGCCTGTGAGCATGTAGTGAATACATAAAACCCAGTCTTTTGGTGCATACATAAAGCCTGTCAGAAATCAGAAGATGGTAACAAAATTTTGCCCTTTCTGGCTGACATAAGAATCATTATGAATAGCTAACAACTTGAAAATATTATAAGAAATGGTAAATACACAGCATATTTTAAAATTTTTGCCAGAATACAAAGCTACCTGTGATAAGAACTTTGACTTTACCCTTGAGCTTCACCTATAGAGAGGAGCTAAAGATGAAATACAATTAAATTGATTTGAATGTACTCCATTGTATGCAAACAAAGGTAAGGCAGCGTAAGTCTAAACTAATTGAAAGACATATGAGTCAGAAAGAAAATCTTTTAGTGATAAAAATAAACTGTAAGAAGCTTTTCTCAATTTATGTTGGGCAGAAAATATGTCACTTGCATAACTCTAGATCATGAAAAGAGTTATGGGCATTTCCTTTTATTTATTATTAACTTTTCATTTAAAAAGGTAATATTACTTTGTTATATAAAATGGAGTGTGGATATATGACCAAGAAAAATGAATAAAGAAAAACTTATTCATGTGATATTGTAAATATCTTCTACATGTTTCCAGATATTTTTAGTTTATTCAATAAGTGAAGTGGGATAGACTATTTCAGATTTTTATCAACTCACTTAATTTCCTCAGGCCAGGCATCAGCTCCTGTGTGTACACATGCTTTCGTTTGTCAGCCTGTAAGTGGATTGTCATTGCTACAGGACATCTTTGTCTTTTTCTGGACCTTTCTTTCTTTCTTTCTTTCTTTCTTCTTTTTTGGTGCTGGGGATTGAACTTGGGACCTTGCACTTGCAAGGCAGGTGGCGGAACCACTGAGCTAAGCCTCCGGCCCCTTCCTCTAGATATTTAAATGATTATGTTCTATTATCTTAGTTGAATGCTGAAGTAACCCTGTTAAAATTAATCTTTATTCATTTGACAAAACAATGATTAAAAAATGATATTGACTAACCATTTTACGTTATTTCCACTTTATCTTGATTTGCTCACTTTCAAGTTCTAGCTACATGTATGTTTAATAAACTGACATTTATTTTTATGTTGCCTTGTACTTTTTTTTCTGGTTGTCTGCATTTTCTCTCCTCAATTAATATGCAAATTTTTCATATTTGTGGCTACAGTTCCATTAATTTTCAATTGGAAAACACCAGAAAATAATAAGCATTTGTTTTTATAATGAATGGTTATTGAGCACCTATAATACGTAAGAGATACTAAATCTTTACTGCAAGTATAAATTAAAGATTATTGATAGTTGCTTTTGAAAGTCATATTTCTTAGATGTAATGTAGATATGGTCATCAGAATTTAAAATTATAACAAAAATTTCAGAGTTTTTAGGCAGCATTTATAATAAATGTTTCCTGAGAATTTCCAGAACACCACTTTGGAGCTAACCCCCAAGTATATTTTTTTACTGCTACACATTTTATTTAACTGATATTTCAATTTTAATAACTTTTGACCTTTTCTTCCACACAGAAAGACACACTATAAACACTTATATTAAATCTCTTCTCTCTCTCAATTTTAGACTTGAGAAGATAACCTCAGAATTGAAATTCAGAACTGGCACCCCATGACCCCTACTTCTTACTATTTATGTTCTTCTGCTCCCTTTTTTTCTCATGAGGTCTTTATTGCAAAGAACAGAGAAAAGCTTCTGTCCACCCTCTAGTAGGGAACAGAAGTCTAATCCAGGAGAAGCTGAACCCGGTAAACAATTACTTGGTTAAGTTTGGAAGCAAATTCACCTTAATTAGGTACCTGGATTGGAGCTTTGTTGAGAAACCTCAAAGCAAAGGTTTCATCTAAGATGCCCATGTGTTATGATCCACAGAAATTGTCAGATAATAAATATTTGTTGTTTTTAAGTGATTATATTTTAGGGTATCATGATCTTTAATGTATTTATAATTATGATAATACAAATAAGTATCTCTGTACAGAAGAATACAGTGATGATGACAATAATATATCTACATTAACCAACACACAGAAAAAAATATATATATATATAATGGGGGAATTATTACCAATCCTATAAAATTGAGTAAAACTGTGTAAAAGACCAAATTCAATACTATACACTATTCCAGAGTTGAAAATGGGTTAGTGCTTTGGTGAATTTAGCTGTTCCCTATTCATCTATGGTCATGAGGTCTTTGGGCTTTTAAAAAAATTTTAAGCCTATGTAAGAAACATATAAATCACTCTTTATGAAAAATGTGACTGTCTTGAGCAAGATATTGTTGCAAAAATACAACATGGTGTAAAGATCTGGTGGGGACTATCAAATATAGTATTCAAATTCCTGATTATGTTTTTTTTTTCTTTCCAGTATTCCTGTACATGTTCAAAATTCATCTTGAAATATCATCAAAATAACTTAACTTAGACACTCCACCAAATCTGACCCTAGAAAATAGACTTAAATCAATATCAACAGACATGAGAGGAACAGCGTCCCTTGACATTCTGAAAGATTTTTCTCAGAAATATTTAATCTTTCCAACGATTAGCTGAAGAACAAATGCACTGTGTATGACTTTTATTTTCAGCACCAAGATCTGACTCAACAGCTTCTCATCAGTCCTGAAATATGGCTATAGTTAAGTTTGGTCTTTCCAAATTGATGTGAATTTTGTAAATTTCAGGTCTTCAGTATTTCTTAAATTTCAAATGCAAGTGAAATCTAAAAATGTAAGTATTTAAGTATGTAACTACAGTTTTATTTCTCATTTATTTCAGAGTATTTTTAAATTTAGTCTATTGCTGCTCTTTGTCTACCAATGAAGATAGGAACTATCATTTAGGTATTGCTGTCATTTTCACATTATATTTAAAATACAAGTCCTAAAAATTAGCAATTGCTTTCATTTATTTTAGTATTTTTGTTTGCTGTTCATTGTTTCTAGTGTATCTCTTCAGGCTTTATACTTCCCCCTTAAAGTGCAAAGCAAAAGCTCAATATAAAATCAATGGGAAAATTTCATTTAATAGGCAACTTCTGATATCAAGGCAACAATGTAGTTTTATATAATATTTATTTATATGCCCATTGCATTGAATACAGTAACTATAAAAAAGAATAAAGAGATAAAATACATTTTAAATCCAAAGTTTATAATTTCTATTATTCTTTTGAGTTCTATGACTAACTAAACACATTTAGAATTTTTATTTATTTTTATCACGAAAGTATTAAATTCAAATCTACATAAGGGCAAGTTCTTTTAAAACGTAATTATAAACATTTCTACGAAGTGTCACTTATTAGTCTACTGAAGAGAACTGAACTAAGATGTAACTAGTTCAAAGTAATAATTTTTCACAAAAGAAGATAAAAGACAATATAAAGAAAGGACATGAAAATGTTAAATTTGGCGAATCTTGAGAAAAAGATTAAGGAGTCATATGTACTCTTAGAATCATAAGTAGAAAGAGAATAAAAACAGAAAAATTCAGAATAAATAAAGTTAGAAGGCAAATATTGGAGTAAAGAAATATAGAAATTGGTTATTAAGTCTAGAAGACTTTTGGTGGAGTTCTTACAGTCTGCAAATAATGGCAATTTGACTTCTTTATTTCCTGTCTCTATTCCTTTTATTTCTTTCTCTTGTCTAATTGTTTTGGCTAATGTTTCCAAAACTATACTTAACAGGAGTGGTAATAGTGGACCTTGTCTTACTCCTGATTTTAGTGAGAAGAATTTCAGTTTTTGACCATTTAGTATGATATTGGCTGTTGGTTTTTCATTGATGGCTTTTATCAGATTAAGGTAGAGACTATCTATTCCAATTTTTTGTAGGGTCTTCATCATGCATATGTGTTTGATTTTATTAAATGATTTTTCTGCATCTATTAAGATGATCATAAGGCTTTTGTCCCTGGCTCTATTAATATAGTGTATTACATTTACTGATTTGCATATGTTGAACCATCCCTGCATTCCTGAGATGAATCCCACTTGGTCAGGGTATATGAAATCAATGAAATCTACAAAAACTGTGGAAAATGTCAGTGTTTAATTAATTCAGACATAGGCCTGGTTAGGGTTATGAAGAGAAGATTATTGTTACAGAACAGTCACAAATAAATGGAGGTAAGAACGATTGGGTAGGATGAATGTAGATCAAATATAAGACCTCTTCTGGAAGAAGTCCACACATATCCTGAAGTTACACAGATCATGTTAATCATAGTAATAGTGGGGAATTTGATCCAGTACAAATGAAAGTGGTCATTCGCATATCTGAAAAGTACAGGATCCAAAGGAATCCTTTTTCTAAAAAAGGAACTCATATTTTGAGGACAGAATAGGCACTTATGAGAAGTAATTTTTAGCAAGAAAAATAGTTATCAACTGCTATCTGCAGTATTCTCATAGGAAACAGAATAATAATATCCCCTGTAAAAACTGTTTATAAATCATTACGTGGTAGAAAGACATATATAAGGCAATTTAAGAAACAAGAAGAAAATATTCTAGAATGAGGTGAATGGCAAAGAACGATGAGCTGTGTAAAACAGTATTCCCTGAAAGCACGCATGAGGAAAATACAAGGAGGAGGACGGGGACACTGTGGAGTCACAAACATAAACACAGTCATATCAGGTGCAGAGGCATGTGCAGTCCCAGTGGGATTTGCTTTTGAATGAGTGGTTATGATGAGTGGAGAGAACAGTGTGGTAGAAATAAGTGAATAAAATATCTAGTAAAATTCAGATATGAAAATACTTCCTAGCTGAAACGGTTAAAAGCAATGCCTGGTTTCAGAAGCGAGGTAGCCGTCTACGTTTGTAATGCAGTAATTAATTTGTAGTTACATCATTCTGTAGTTTGAAGTCATTTTAAAATCAAAAAAGAATATTAGCACTTAGACCATAAAGTACCAGTAGATTATTGCTTTTCCTTGAGTCACGAGAAGAAGCAAAATAAGACACAAACTTATAGTGTATAAAAATCCGTCAGAGAGTAAAGGGCACAATGAAACCAAAATATATTAAATTACACACAGTGTCCAAGCCATTTTGGAAGAGAGATTATATTCTCAATTGCTGTCAACCCTGAAAAAACAGCAGATTCAAGGTAGAAATGGACTCTTTCGAGAGGTATGGAGAAACCAGCCATATATTTCCCAGACTTTTAATCATCATCGGGATGGGGTGATGGTCAGAATGGCGAGGAATCCACATCACGACTCCATTCTGCACTGACACCCTCCCGTTTCTCGTGAACCTTTACCAGTTCCAGAGGTGAGGGCGAGGTAAAAGCCAGGAAAGATGTCCATGTGTGCAAGGAATCTTCCTCACTGCAAAGCGAGGCATCGGCAAGAGCTGATGGAAGGCAATGACAAGGAAAGTCACGAGAGGCTCTGAGGATCCTGAGGATTTCCCAGGGTGAAAAACAATACTCTGGCAAGGTCAGAGGGAAAAGTAGGAGATCTGAGAAGATCTCTTCTTGGAACCAGATCAAATGCTCATAGCTCATGCTCTGAAAACTGGAGTGGGAACCGAGTTTTTCCATGTAAACTAAAAGCCATTTAACCTGTGTTATTGTATTTTCAGACAGTGAAATTTTTTACATGTTGTACTGATATTGCAGATTCTTGTGCTTATTTTGTTTATTTCATCAAGGTAGAAAATTTTGTCTGTGTTATCTTATTTTTCATAGTAGGGCTGATAATTGTGCCTTGTAGGGTAGATAAAGGCACAATGATATTTCAAACACCATCCTGTTAATTTTTTATTATATAAAATTAGACATCAAGTTTCTTATCAATAGCTAAAATTATATCTTCCATGTTATAATTTGAACTGGCTCATCAATCTACCACTAACAAAATTTTTCAAGTGCAAGGCTTACTGAACAAACAGTTTACTGAGAAATTTCGTATGAGTCTGTTCCCTTGGATAAATGATGGATACACACAGAGAACTTTACCTTTTATTCATGTATGTCTTCAAAGTGACTGGGATAGTATCTGATAGAAACTAAAATTTCAATAAGGTTCGTAACTATATAAGCTTTGTATTCTATATTTTGATTTATGCATTCAAAAGTACATTTACTTCCCTGATAATTGCTTATTTTAATGAATTGTTTCAGTCAACATAAAATATGTCTACATAAATCTGTAACTGTAGAATGATATTTTTGTTTTTTGTTGCTTCTACTGTGCATTCTTACAAGTGATACTGCAATGAACATCCACTTAATGTGTCTAACAATATCTATGTGTGGAACTTTTTTTATTTAGTTAACGACTGGATCATAGTTCAACTTTAGTAGATACTTGCAAATAATTTTTTAGAGGAATGATATCAATTTATAATCTTATAGATTTTATGCCAAACTCTTTGCTATGCATTATCATCATTATTCTAAATCTTGATTTTAATTTAAATAATGACTTTATTATTTGTCATTTATAGAATTTAATTGCACCTTTAATTCATATTCTGGAGATTTCTCATGATATGTAGGACACTTGGACTGAGATTAATATTAGTTATGCCTCGGGATGGTCACATCTTTTCTTGAGAACAGGTAGTAGGTGAACTAGTCCAAATTCAGGCTGGATTTGAATTTTGTTGTTATGGTTATCATTCATGGACCACTACCTTCAAAGATCTGTGTCCTTAGCTAGTTTTGAGGGCCTGACTGATACTTCAAGAGTTCTCTTTAGTCTTCCTCATTAGTATGGTTTATATCAAAATGGTTCCCAAAGCCTCATGAGCTTATAGGTGAGGCTTTGGAGGTGACTGGATTACAGGGGCATAATAATCATCAGTGGGTTGGTCCACTGATGAAAATATGTTAGACTTGCTTTGGAAAGTGACAATCTGGTGAGAAGAGGTGAGTTACTAGGTGCTTATCCTGGAAAGGTTTTTCTCTTCCCTATTCCTCCTTTCACACTTTCTGTCTGCTTGCTACCACTGTACCATAAAGTGTTTGTCCTCTGACACGCCCCTCTGCCATATCACCCTGCCTTGGAGCCAACTGACTATGGACTAAACCTCTACAATTCTGACTCTAAACCTCCTCTACTCAGAGTTGTGTATATTGGGTATTATATCTAAGCAACAAGAAAGTAACTAGTCACTCATCAGCAACCAGCTATGGGTTTTCATGTGTTCTTGAGCCCTGAAGAGAGTCTTACTTCTGAATTTGTACCTGGCTACCTCTCATGATAGATGGCAATGAAAACTACTACTGTTTGCTAAAGATAGATGATATTTGAAAACCATCTTCAGTCTTGAAGAAGCCTGTAACACTATGATAAGTATGTAGCTGTCTCAGACATCTTGCCCACTCCATGTTAGGTAGCCTTTCTACAATGTCTTTACTTGTTCCTCGGAGGCAAAATGACTTGTGCCCACTTCTTTAGTGGCTTAGCATCATTATAGAGTT